ATTTCCTCACTTTGGAAACAGTGGAATCTTCTGATCTGTGTAAGTAGTAGCTTGTAGTTTTCACAGTGCTTGCCCCAAGTGTTGGATTAATCAACATTAGGTTATTTATGGGATGTGAGTGGTGTGTTAGGAGGTGTTTGTATTAATTCAATAATATGCCCTCTGGATAGAAACTGAAATGGAGAGTGTCATCTTTAGTGCATGAATGCAGATGCAGATTCTGAAGTGTTAATCATACTATTAACAAAGCAAACTAAACACACATATTTTAAGCCTGTGACATTTTTTTTAGGTTGCCAGAAACATCTTCAAAGTGGCAACATTGTGAGAGGAAGGCCTGGTACATTATTTAAATAATATAATGCTTCAGGTCGAGGGAAGTAGCCTGTCCAAACTTGATTTATAATTTTACGTTACTCTGCCTCATAGCTAAGAATAAAATGTGTCCATGTGGAAACATGCAGGACAATTTTAAATGGCCCTTTAGGACATTATTTTAGTTTCACGAAGAAGCTGCTAACAGAGACCGAACTCATTCAGTAAAGTAACTTAATTGAAAACATTTGCAGAAATATTGTAGAGTTGAACATTATGCTTCCTAATGTAACATTACCTGTCTGTGTTATGTGAAATATCTGCCATATTGATAATGAACAAATTCTAAGAGGTCAGTAAGATTTTTTTAATTAATGCTTTTATTCCGGAAGGGTGCATTAAATTGATCAAAAGTGACAGTAAAAATATTTATATTTTTATTTCAAATAAATGCAGTTTTTTTTTTTATCTTTTATTTATCAAAGAATAACAGTTTCCACAAACATATTAAGAAGCATGACTATTTTCAACATTGATAGTAATAATAATTGTTTCCTGAGCAGCAAATCAGCATTTTAAAATGAAATATCATGTGAGACTGAAGACTGGAGTATTGGCTGCTGAAAATTCAGCTTTGCCATCAAAGGAAAAAAATACATTTAAAATAATAAAAAATAACATATTTCATAACAATACTGTTTTTGCTGTATTTTTGATCAAATAAATGCAGCCTTGGTGAGTAGGGGTGTAACAGTTCACAAAATTCACGGTTCGGTTCAATACGACACAGTGGTGTCACGATTCGGTACGTTTTCAATAGGGGGGGCGGGGAGGTTGGGTAATTGCTTTCATCGCAATGTTGGAAATATTTATGTTTTATAGGCCTACCATGAAGGCGAGCCAATGGATATCACTAGAAAGTGAAAGTAAAAGCGGAATGACGGAGCTTTCGGCATCTGACGCCGCATATTCTCTCAAAGACGACGAGAGACGAATCTACTTCAATATATGCTGATAATGGTATATAGCTAACTGTTTTCATTTATACCCTTAATATTTCTCTTGTGGCCCGTACATAGTAAAAAAAATGAGAAGAAACGTATTTGGTGTTAAACAGGGTGTTTTTGAAAGTCTGCGTTTTAAATAGGCTAAATAAAGCTTTTTATTTCATTGATTTTTATTGATGACTGCAGTGTTAATATTTTAATTATAGGCCTATAATTAATTGTAGCCTATAATAGACCTGTTTTAAAATACCTTTTTTAAAACATTTTAATTGAGGAGCAAATAGCCTTATCTTTTGTTGTCCTCGCAGCACGTCAGTTATGCGGTAATATTGCAGGGCAAATTAATTGTTATTTTAATTTAATAATGATATTTTTATTAATTTAATAATTAATTAATTTTTAATTAATTAATTATAATTAATTTTATTAATAAAAGTAACTTAAAAATAACAATGTAACAGGGCTACATTAATTGAAAATGCCAAATCCTCTTAATATTGCCAATAACTGATGTTTTTGACAATATTTCTGGCTGTCGTCGATACAAGATCATCGTCTTTCAACGCACCCCAGCAAGGGGAGGATATCGCGGGGCAGACAGCACGTTGTTTTGTCATTTGGGCTGCCTTCTTGCAGTGGCACTGAGAACATTATATTTCACACACTTTAAGCTCTTTTATTTCCCTTTTATAAATCGTTCAGTTTGTAATGCATACCGAACCGAAAGCCTCATACCGAATGCGGTGTATTGTTGTTACACCCCTATTGGTGAGCATAGAAGACTTCTTTCAAAAATATATATTTTTTTAAATCTTACGGACCCCAAACTTTTAAACAGTAGTGTGAGTGTAGATTGACTGAGTTGTTCTAGTTACCTGGATATGTGTCTATTTTTACACGAGTTGTGAACTGATGATGGAAATTTCCCGGTGTTTAACCTTGCTGTGTTACACTAACGGTGTGAATCACGATCACAGATGTGAACTGAGGTGAAACTGGTGACATAGGCTGTCCTGCCCTCCCTGAGACAATCTGACAATCCGTTAACATCTGCTATTATCATCTGTTTCTGGAGGCTCAACATTAACATGCAGTGACACAGAATTGCATGTAAAGTTTGACTAAAATACATTGCGCATTCCACTAGAAATCAGAGACCATTCCTTTGAAATCCAATCATCTTCGAGATCAGAGATCAGATCACCCGAGACGGATGATAATATCAGATGTCTTTGTCGTCCCTGTCTAAAATCGTAAATGCCACTGAGTCTCCACCATCAGTTCACAGCATCTAAATGACAAGAAAAACACTAGACATCCTTCAATGAGCTGGATAACCAAGAATCTTCAAAGACAATTCTGAGTAGGTCGTAACTGTAGCAGGTAGTCCTTTAATATTTGCCTGTAATATAAAATCAGTATTGACTCTGAACAAAAGATTTGGTTGCACTTTATTTTACAGTATGTGTACTTACATTGTACTTACCTAAGGAAGTACTGGGTAATAAAAGGTAACTACGTGGATTAAGGTTAGGTTTAGGGGTAGGTCCAGGGTTAGTACCTACTGTAGTTATTACCCAGTTATTGTAATTACTATAAAAACTACATAACATGTACATGTGGAACAGGACTTTAAAATAAAGAGCTACCAAGGATTTTGTCATGCTTATACGTTTATACCTGTGGTTGTTAAAAAACAACCACTTCCTTGAAAGTCTATCAAATTAACACAAAAAGTGTTAACTGTTCTTTACTCCAATACACAAGATAATCTTCGTACCGTAAGTGGCATTGTATTTTTTATTTTTTCCAGATGATCTTTCGTTCTTTTTCCCAGCTAACACAGAGATAGTTGTATTATGTAGGACTGGACTGACAGATCTTTCTCTTTCTCTTTGGAAACTGAAGTGTCCTTTGATATATTTCTCTCTCAAACTATTTTGTACCTCTATTGATATTAATTATTTTAGGGGCTGTTTTGTATGAATGTAAATGTACAGCTATATTGTAAATACATGTTTAATAAAAAGAGACTTTTTTCATTATTGTGCCACATTTGTGAGTAAGTACTCGTTACTAAAATTGCATTTAATAATTCAGATGGCTTTTGAGGATTTCTTTAATCTGTAGATTTTTCCCAATAGGTTTCTGTACTGTACATTTACAGTATAGAAGTAAGGTCATGTAAGAGCATTAAATGGGACAGCTGATGTGAAAATGACTGTGTGCACTTTATAGGGCTGTGCAATTAATCGCATGCGATTGTCATGCGCATCTCGTCAGTAAAGCCGGTTCTGTGATTGGTAGTAAATCGCCATCACCTGCTTTCAGATGGAGCGGCATTTACTACACAAAACCGTAGTTCACTGACAAGCTACGCAATATCGCGTTCATAATCGCAAATGAGTCGCTTTCGATTATGAATGCAATATTGCCTAGCTTGTCAGTGAACTACGGCTCTGTGTAGCAAATGCCGCTCCATCTGAAAGCAGGTGATGGAGATTTACTACTAATCATGGAACCGGCTTTACTGACGAGATGCACATGACAATCGCATGCGATTAATTGCACAGCCCTAGCACTTTATCTTTATAGCACAGTAATATGTCTTTAAAACCTCCAGCCTGTAAAGTAGTTTACTCTCATTTCACATTACAGTTGCTCTCACAATATAATTACTTTAACTGATTTATTCATTTCCTTCATTCACATAAGGAACGATAATATGTGTTTCTCCTTTTTTTCACAGAATAAATTAAATGGTTTATCAAAAAGATTTGCCTTTTTTCCAGGAGTAATTTGAATGATCTTTGTGCGTGTGTAGACCTTTTATTTAACTCAATGCAATTGTCTTTTACATACTGTATGAAGATGACACTCAAAAACAATATGCAGCATCATTACCAATGCAAATATCACATAAAGGTTTGCATAATCTTGGTTAATGGTTAATTAAACATTTTGATACAGGAGCCCAGCTGCATCATCCATTTGCAAAACTGAACAATGAGTACCAATGATGAAAACTGTCTTAAGGTTTTAGTGATGAGCAGAGCCGATCTGCATAGGGCCCCCTTGCTCTCAAAGGTGATTTAATTTTAGTTTCGTATTTGAATTTGGCCAGCGGTTATGAAAACATGAATGATCATTTATTTTAATGCGGTGCGCTGTCGCCCTTTCTACGTAAAAATCAGTCAAATCATGTAATGTGAATGTCGTACAGTCTTGCTCGAGACTAAACAACGAGTTGAAAGCGTACCGAGCCGCAGAAGAGACACTGTTTCTGAAGCTCTTTCCGCGATTCGAGACGGAGTGAAACATGGACAAATGCGTTTTATTCATTCGTTCATAACCACTCATACAAAAGAATCTATAGGTTTACAGTCAATAAAATGAAGGTGTTTATAAATAAAATATTGTTTGAGAATATTATTCAAATAATGTTTGCAGTTGCACTGATTACGTAACACTTGAAGATGAGCATGTGGATAGTTCTGTTTTAATCCATGTAAGAATGTGTGTCATTTGTTTATGGTAGGCCGTCAAGCCACATTTAATTTACCAACCTATTTTACTTTGACCTTATATCATTTATTTGTTGTAATAAAAGCCAGGGTGTATCAGGAACAGCAGGACATTTGCAGGACAGTCAGCAACTGATTCGAGGCGACAGTGAAGATGGAGCCATGGCTATATGTTTTGCTCTCCAGTCCCCTTTGCCTCACAGCAACCTTTTTCAACATCGTCTTCTCTTTTTGCCTAATGAGACCAGTCGCTGGAGTGATGCTTCGCAATCCACTGCGCTTCTTGTTAATTGTTGTGTTATTCAATTCAACATTTCAACAACTGGTGAATGTGCTGACCATTGTTATGCTGCTTTTTGATGCACCTTTCTGGCTTCAAACGCTAACCAGAGCTTTGATTTATCAGTTTTTCTGCGCCAACTTCTCATGCAATGCCTGGATCAGCATTTTCTACTACATTTCTATTGTTCCTCAACAACATCCCATCTTTATCTGGATTAAGAGGAATATGAATGCCATATTATATATCGGCTTCATTCTGAATCAAACAGTGCTTCTAATATCTTTGTCTATGGGAGCAGTTATGTATTTTTTGCTCTGGCCTGTCCCAAACAATTTCACTTCACCTGAACTAAACAAAACATCACCAGCAGAAAGCTTAGAGTCAGACCTGTATTTATTTCATGTGGCTAATTTTACATATTTGCTATATTGCACGTGTCCGCTGTTCACATTATTATTCTCTTGGGGCAAAACCTTTGTTTATCTGCGTGAACCAGTGAAGATGGAGCCATGGCTTTTTCAACATCGTCTTCTCTTTTTGCCTAATGAGACCAGTCGCTGGAGTGACGCTTCGCAATCCACTGCGCTTCTTGTTAATTGTTGTGTTATTCAATTCAACATTTCAACAACTGGTGAATGTGCTGACCATTGTTATGTTGCTTTTTGATGCACCTTTCTGGCTTCAAACGCTAACCAGAGCTTTGATTTATCAGTTTTTCTGCGCCAACTTCTCATGCAATGCCTGGATCAGCATTTTCTACTACATTTCTATTGTTCCTCAACAACATCCCATCTTTATCTGGATTAAGAGGAATATGAATGCCATATTATATATCGGCTTCATTCTGAATCAAACAGTGCTTCTAATCTCTTTGTCTATGGGAGCAGTTATGTATTTTTTGCTCTGGCCTGTCCCAAACAATTTCACTTCACCTGAACTAAACAAAACATCACCAGCAGAAAGCTTAGAGTCAGACCTGTATTTATTTCATGTGGCTAATTTTACATATTTGCTATATTGCACGTGTCCGCTGTTCACATTATTATTCTCTTGGGGCAAAACCTTTGTTTATCTGCGTGAACATATGAAAAAGATGGGACAGAGCGGTGAATCTTTTTCCCAACCCCAACAGAAGAGCCAGATGCGGGTCACAGTAACAGGCATGGTACAGGCAGCCCTGTTTCTGCCCAGCAGCCTATGGACTATAGCAGTTGCTTTCCTCTACATAACGGACCTCTTCGAAATGGTTGATCCCAATAGATTTGTCACAATGACATTCTGCTCGATGTCCAGTTTGGGAAATTTACTGTGTTTTGGATTCTCCCAGTCTGTGTTTCGCCATGGAATTGTAAGTGTCATTAACAAACTAAAGAGACACAAATGAGATCTTAGGATTCTCACCGTTTATTATGTGATCTGATTATCTGATGTGAGCAAACGTATGTTTTGAACATGTAGGATCTAACCTATATTTTCACGTTAGTAAAATTTAAATAGGAAATGTATGGAAATTAACAATAATATTTTTAAGGGAAGACAATGTTGTAAATGTCTGTAACTCAGTGGTTTTTGTGCTTTATGTGAAGTTTTGCTATAATATTCCCATATTCCTCTTCTTTGAATTACAAATCAACAATTTATCCATAAACAAGAGTAAGAGCTGTCATTAACTGCAACCCACAGCTATAACTATTAGATAATTGTAACAATACACTGAAAAAAAATGGTGTAGAAACAATATTCACTCAGAAATTGCTAGTACATTTTACAAATGATTACAAAGTAACCCGTCAAATTAAACAGGAAATTTTGAGTTAGAAAGACTGAAATAGTATTTTCTTGTAAATCACTCCATCTTTGTTATATTTACAAATGTGAAAAATCTTTTTTTAAACAGTTTATAAAAATGGATCACACTTTATTTTAAGGTCCAGTTCTCACTATTAACAAACCATTAACTATGACTTTTGCCTCAGTAAACTCCTAATTTGCTGCTTATTAATAGTTAGTAAGGTGGTTGTTAAGTTTAGGTATTGGGTAGGATTAAGGATGTAAAATATGGGCATGCTGAATATGTGCTTCATAAGTACTAATAAACAGCCAATATTAATATGCATGCTAATAAGCAACTAGTTAAAAGTGAGAATTGGTCCCTATACTAAAGTGTTACCGAAAAATCCAGTTGTTTAGATGCCATAATTTATTATGGCAAGTAACCTTATTTGATTTTAATTTAATGAAATATGAAACATTTTTATTGAACAGCAAGCCAAACTGTAAGCAGATATTGGATACAAATCCAGACAATGTATGTGGTGTGTCCCACAATCATGGCATATGTTTACATTGTCCTATTTTGGCAAATACTGCTGTGCTTCGCTCTGATTGGTCAGGACTGTCAGTAAAGGGCAGACACCCCTTTATTTGCATCTGAAAAATCTCCTTTATGGTACATTTACTGTGTAGCAAATCCTGCACATAACAACCTCTGGATTCAATCTAACCATTCGATTTGATTGAAATGTATAGTCAAATCCATGTCTTTCCCTTCAAAGTGAGGAGAATTTGCATTCACTACACGTGCTCTATGCCTCATTAACTGTGATGGGGGTGTGTATAGCACATGTTTTGCTGAGCAGCCCGTGATATGTCAGTCAGTGAATAAAATACTGTCAGCTGAATATCTTTCTTTAAACTGATGAAGACAATTTAGGGTTAAATTAACCATTATAAAGCTCCATAATACTGCATGTGTGTAAAGATTCATGTACTATAGCATGACGAAATGTGGAAGTCTCTTTTCCAAGCTTTTTCAAACAAATCGTCATGTGTGAAGATTTATATTCAAATTATTTTGCAGTTGAACATCGTATGTGTTTCTGTACTATACCTCGTTATTAAGTCTGTTTCACGTATTTCCCCAGAAGTTTGTCACAATAGTGTGCAGCCACGACTTTATCTATAAATGAGAGTGCACTCATGCTGAGAGTGTATTCATCTGGTTTTAGGTCTATGCAGTGTGTGATAGGCAGTTGTGACTGACATAATATATAACACACAATATGTGTTTGTTTTATCACAGACTAGGCTGCTGGAGCAGATTTGAACATGCCATCGAATTCATGTTCTTATTTGAAATGTATTCTTTGCACTTGACTGGGCACGTTGTTTTCTGTTTTTATGGTTGACGGCTTCAGATTATTGAATCATTTCCCATTTGCTAATATTCTTTCATCACTAAAAAAAGCAATTAAAAATCCAAATGCATTTTAGGATACTGATAAATCTCTGTGCTTTCATTTTTGTTTTATACTTCAAAGGAACACACAGTGAGTGGTCCCATTTTTGCAAATTCAGGAAATGTACCTTCTCTAAAAAGTGTCTAACATTTGAACTTCTCAGTTAAATTAGTGCCAGGGTGACCAACATTTCTCTCTATATTTGAAGCTAATTATGCAGTGATGGCTGATGAAGATGTCTCCATCTTATAAACCTCTGGTTATTTAATAAATACTGTAGCTTGAAGGACAATTTTGGCTTTTTATCTCATTATCTGCCTTATCCTTTCCCAATGACAATCCAATAAAACTCTGTAATTATTCCCTCTGGGTGCTAACACACAGTAAATCATTTAAATGCCAAATATAACTTGGTGAACAGGATACACTGCAGTCTCTCATTCAGTCTGCATGCTTTAGATTGCATGAAGATTTAAAGGAGTATGAAAGGCTCTTATTAGCTGCTTTTCACTATTGGTTGTTGGTATAAATAAAATCAAATAAAATCAAATAAATGTATATTTATATAAAATGTTGTTGAACACTGAACATGTTGAAATGGATAATATTTTATGAAAAAAAAAGGATTTGCATACCTGATATGAAACAGCTGAAGAGCACATTTGGCTTTATCACGATCTGTCCTTTGAGACCAATGATGCAGTGCAGCCAAGCACTCTACAATAAAACTGTCAGTGATCGCAATGATCACTGTTCTCTCTCCTGAAGAATATCTTTATCTAATTTAACATGAGTCAGTGGCCACTAAGGAATGAACAACCACAGCAGGTAATTAACTCTGAATGTAGATCAAGGGGAGATGCAGATAGTGTGTTAGTAATCTGCTTTTGATAATCCATGCCAGATCAGCAGTGTTTGGATTTTTTTTTTTTAAATGTAGGCACGGATGGCTTGTTCACAATAAGATATGCATTCAGAAAATAGATAGGGTGAGTTTTCATTTCATACAGATGGTCAGAAAGCACAGAAGTGTGTGAAAAAACCTTTATGTTGGGTATTCACGAAGAAGTCGCTGACACAAAACATTTTTATACGGTATCATACAGCAAACAGAACTGTGAAGCCATTACCAGCCAATATGATGGAAAATATAACAAATGATTCCACACAAAAACTGGTCAATTGTGAAATATGATGATACATTAAACTGAATATTTGCATCCCAGGTAAACAATCTCCTGAATTGCAATTCTAGTTTGGTGCCTCTCGTAACACTGAGATATCCATTAATGTGACAGATGGCGAAAGCTCATCTTTCAGCTTATTATAAATCATTGAAAATAAATACAGACCCAAAACAAGCACCACACATTAGGGATTGTGCTTCAGACTGAATCCGCCCATAAATTTAGGTGTGCAGTGATCAAAACATCCACAGGACTCAATAAATGGATTAAGAGACTGGCAGAAAATGGCTCAGTGGTATGATGCATATGCTATCATTTGTTCCGCTACCTGGAGAGAAAAATGGTGGGGATAAATTGATTTCCCCCCACATTAGAAAATCGTTATTGCCAAAGCTGGTCAATTCATCAACATCATCATTGGATTATTATCTGCCGACTGTATATGTCAAATGCAAATGTTACACCAGTTTTTGAGGCACATCACTTTTGATCAATTTTATGCATCCTTGCTGAATAAATGTATTAATTGCTTAAAAAGGAAATAAAACCTTACTGACCCAAACTTTTGAGTGGTATAGTGTATGTGTAATATTAATAGCACATTATACTTTACCTATTGGAAATGATCATCAACATCATCATTGGATTATTATCTGCCGACTGTATATGTCAAATGCAAATGTTACACCAGTTTTTGAGGCACATACTCGCTCAGTGAATGTTGGCAAAAGTGTTTTAATTGTTACTGTGCATTAAGCCTTGACATTATTGCATTATTAATTAAAGCCCTACTGCATCATCAAGTCAGAGGGATTTAAATACATCTGCTCTCATAAGAATTCACATGAGGGCTCCATGCAAGCATGTGATGAGTCTGTGACTGACAGTCAATCAGTCTTTAATCAGTGATGGTCCACCGAGTGTCAAGGCTTTAAAATGACCACCTCTTACCGGGGTTTATCAAGCGTGACTCTCACGCTGTAGTCCTAATGCCGCTCAGATCTCATGTAGAGAGATGTCCTCATTTGTCACTAAAGCGGAGAATGGTAGCGGCTCCACACACAGAATCCAGATGAAGAGGTTCAGTTTCAACACAGAGAGCACAGTCGACATGGAAAATAATATACAATGGACATGTAAATAAATTATATGTAATTATATATTTTGTCAAAGATATATAACTGATTTTCCTCAGTTTTCTAACTTCTGACAATCATATTTCACCTGCACCACCATGCTTTTTCTGCTCACGCTTCCCTTTCCACTGCAAACCATTTCAGACAGGCCACCTGGGAATCTCTAATGGCAGTTTTTCTACTATCTAGAGATATGCTTATATGGAAATTTGCTGACCCATATAATCAGACAACACACTCCAAGCAAAGTACATCCCAATGGTCAGCACTTACAGCGTTAAAGAGCTTTCTGTCAGCAAAAAAAATGAAGGAAAATAAAGGCGAACAGAAAAAGGTCATCTGTTTTTCAGCAACTTCCATTTGGGAGCCCATATAGAATGCACAAAAAGCCCCCTTGCGTGCATAAGTGTTTAGATGAGGAGCATCTTAACAGCTATTATTAAAAATAAAAAGAAGGATATTGTAGCTTTTGCTATGGCCATCAGCCTCACATTGTGGTTTATGAGTTTTCATAGTCTCAGATATTTGTAAAGACTCAATGTCGCCAGATATTAACATTGATTTGATCTGCAGAATAACATTAAAAGGTTAATACCGTGTATTAACATGTGAAGGTTAATAATAATGATATGAAATATTTTATAAATTATACCTTTTTTGTCTATTGCTTCAAGAATTTGCAACATTTCATACATTTTTCACTGAAATTCTTGCCCTACTGCACAATAAACATTATTAATTAGGCTTTTAGGCTAAATGAAAATATATACAGTGTGTTCATTACATGCCTAAAAATGGAAATGAAGGCATAGGAATAGTCAA